TGGAACACAATTCTAAAGTATGGCATCAACAATGCAGATATCTACAACTTTGATGAGACTGGGTTTATGATGGGCGTCATCTCAAGCGCAACGGTAGTAACGAGCTCAGATGGGCGGGCAAAGGCAAAAAAGGTGCAGCCTGGCAATCGGGAATGGGTTAGAGTAATCCAAGGCGTTAGTTCTCAAGGTTGGGCAGTGCCGCCATTTGTCATTGTGGCAGGTAAAAACCACCTTGCATCTTGGTATGAGAATAGCGGATTTCCAGCAGATTGGGTAATTGCTGTTACTGCAAATGGCTGGACTACAAACGAGAGAGGTATGGATTGGATTCAGCATTTTGAGAAGCACACAAAGCCCCGGAGTGTTGGTGGTTATCGCTTGTTAGTCCTTGATGGTCATGAGAGCCACCACTCAGACAAGTTTGAGGAGTACTGCAAAGAACACAACATTATTACGCTTTGTATGCCTGCTCACTCTTCCCATATACTCCAACCACTTGATGTTGGCTGTTTTGGCCCATTAAAGAGAGCTTACAGTCGGCAAATTGAAGATATGATGCGGGCTCATATTATTCACATTACTAAGGATGACTTCTTTCCTGCCTTCCACGCTGCATTTAACATTGCAATGACAGAAAGCAATATTCAGGGAGGGTTCCGAGGTGCTGGGCTTCTTCCATTTAGCCCTAAGAGTGTAATATCTACACTTGACCTTAGGTTTAAGACGCCAACACCTCCAACCTCTCGCCCAAACACCGCTCAACCATGGGTTTCTCAGACACCAAATAACCCAACTGAAGCTGTATCACAGTCTACTTTCATTAAAAACCGAATTGCGCATCATCAAAATAGCTCTCCAACCTCAATCTATGCAGCTGTTGACCAGTTTACAAAGGGTGCATCGCAAATAATGCATCAATTAGCATTGTTAAAAGCAGAGAACCAAAACCTGCGACAGGCAAATGAAGTGCTAAGCAAGCGCCGGAGAGCTAAAAAAACACGACTACAGCAAGGAGGATCACTTAGTCAACAGGTAGCACAGGAGCTACAGGACGAGAGGGACGTTGTGCAGCAAGTAGAGCAAGAAATAAGGGCAAGTAGTGGTCAGAAGCCAAGGGAAGAAACCCATGCACGTCGCTGTGGCAAGTGTGGTGAGACTGGACACAATGCGCGCACTTGTCAGATTGTAATAGACAGGTCTGAGGAAGAGGACTCTGAGTAGTTTTAATTAATTTATATTGTTGTGGTGGATTTATCGCAATTCTTATGGGGTAGTCGCGATATTTTGGCACTTTCGCTTGTTTGGCACTTTCATTATACATGCACGTTATCATATTTTGTATTGTTTTTGAATTGGTTCCAGAAACAAAATCGCACTACCGAGGATATTGGACTATCGAATATCGCACTAAGGTTATACTGTACTCGATACCAAGTTGAACTAATAATCGCTTGCGTCTCCGGCACTATAGATGTGAAAGTGCTCCTGTTGGTACAAGTCTGGAACACGTGACAGAAAGACGATGGTTTATGAAGTGTGTCATACTGACATACGTTGCACTCAGTTTGCTATCAAACTCAAGAGCAAGCTTAGAAATCTCCTCCTCAAACCTACAAGTCACTATACATATTTTGGCTTATCACACCAACAACAAGAGCAATACTACTCAACGATTGCTACAACCATCTATGATTCATTACACGTCATCGCTCCTGGGCCGATATTACCACATAGCATATCTCTACAACCCTCTATGATTCATTACATGACATCACTCATACTACCACATGACATATCTCTACCAACTAGAGGCCTAGGAGCATGAACAATAGCTCTAAAAGCTCCTACGAACCTCTATGATTCATTACATGTCATCGCTCTTTAGTTACCCACAAGATTGGTTAAGTTATGACATAATTTGTCTGTGACATAATTTGTCTATGACATAATTTGTCTATAGGGGTACTCTGACCTTGGACCTCCTTTTACTTCCTATAGGCTACGAACCTAAGAGATGGTTCTATGGGATTCTCTTACGTCGACTACAGTTACCAAGCCTGGTAAGTCATGGAAAGTCTTGGAAAATGAGAGAACTACATTCCTTTAGCATAAATAGGATTGCCCTTTCCTTAAGAAAGGGCAAGCAGACAATACAGTAAATCGACTATCACATACTTCCACGTCTTTTCCAAGCTTCCAAGCATTGATCTTGTTACTCCTTGAAAAGTCAGTGAGGTGTTAACCTCTGACTTACCCCTGAGTTCCCAGACTCAACATTTGTTGCAACTTGTCTGAACCACTTCACTACATCACACACCTGATTGCTGCGTTGTGGAATAGTCTAAGCTATGACCCTTTGGCTCTGTTTTCTAAGACAGTGTGTTGTCTTAGTAAATTCATCCCTTCCTTGGGTGGCTAGATTCTCACATCTGGTGCACCCACCATTACAAAAATGAGAGAACTACACTCCTTTAGCATAAATAGGATTGCCCTTTCCTTAAGAAAGGGCAAGCAGACAATACAGTAAATCGACTATCACATACTTCCACATCTTTTCCAAGCTTCCAAGCATTGATCTTGTTACTCCTTGTTTCTGAAAAGTCAGTGAGGCACTAACCTCTGACTTATCCCTGAGTTCTCAGACTCAACATTTGTACAACTTGTCTAAACCACTCCACTACATCATACATTTGATTGCTGCATTGTGGAATAGTCTAAGCTACAACCCTTTGGCTCTGTTTCCTAAGACAGTGTGTTGTCTTAGTAAAATCACCCCTTCCTTGGGTGGCTACATCTGGTGCACCCACCATTACAAAGTGGAGCAGGTGGCTGGTTTCAGCAATTATAGCTCGAGCCTTGTTACCTCAAGCTTTAAAGTGCTGTGAGCTGAAGCACAGTACAGTATTATCTCGTTAAGTCGATACACGATTAGTCGATTTTCTGGATAACTCGATAACTTTCTTTGGATCCTTCCATTCGTCATACAAATCATGATACACACGATATTGAGTCCCTTTTCCCCATTATCAACTTAAACTAATTACTGGACTACTCTTAGAATACCTTCAAAAGGCCTTCGAAAAAGCTCTATTCTATGACTCTCGAACAGCGAAAAGCCCTCTAAACCTGGCATCGATCTCACCATCCGAAACCTACACAAAAGGCCACTATACAGTGGTTCCTTGAGCAATACAATCATCGACTTAGCCAATCTACAGTCTCAGAATCCCTTAGCTCTCGATTTTTGGACCTTGACGATACTCCTAATACTCTGGAAACAAACAGCTCTAAAGCTTAGCGTCGCCGCGCTGTCGCCTGGCCTGAATTAGAAGCTGCTCTTTACGACTGGCAGAGGCTTATTGAAGAGCGTGGCGGCATTACAACTACAGAAATCTTACAATCAAAGGTGAAGATTATCTGCTACCACAATACCATGGACTACCTACACCAGAATTTAGCTACGGATGGATCGTAAAGTTTCGACAACAGCATAATATATTATATCGAACTCTACATGGTGAAGCTGGATCTATTGGTGTCACTGCAGAAGAACAAATGAAGGCTATACAAACTATTGCGGGGGGGTTTTTAGAGGACAATATTTACAACATGGATGAGACTGGGCTTTACTGGAGGATGAGCCCTTCAAAGGGCTTTACAACACAATCAATTCCAGGACAGAAGAAGGACAAAGCACGCATATCAGTAGCCATTTGTGTTAATGCTGCTGGAACAGATCGATTTCCTCTTTGGTTTATTGGAAAGGCTAAAAAGCCTTTAGCTTTACAACACGTTGATGTAGGGGCAATGGGTGGGGTTTGGAGGTGGAATAAGAAGGCTTGGATGAATCAATTTGTTATGGCAGATTGACTAAATGCTTTCTATACTCATATTGGTATGTCACATTCTATACTGCTTACAATGGATAACTTCTCAGCCCATATCATCGACGCCTCCTCCTCCAAACATATGAATTATCTGGCTTCCTCCTGTTACGATATAGCTTACAGCTTGTTATGGTTGTTATGGTTGTTATGGTTGTTATGGTTGTTATGGTTGTTATGGTTGTTATGGTTGTTATGGTTGTTATGGTTGTTATGGTTGTTATGGTTGTTATGGTTGTTATGGTTGTTACAGTTGTTACAGGTGCAGCCTTAGCCACCAAGGCTACAACCGCTAAGCGGACAACTGTATATTACGAGGAATAGCCTCACCTTCCTTCCTCTTCCTTCTTCTTCTTCTTCTCTCCTTAGATTCAATCTAGCTTATTATTCTCCGGACTGGCTTCTTGACCTCCGTGACCATTGTAACACCTCCAAATGTGACCAGTCGATATCAACCTCTTGATCAAGTATTATAGCCTCTTTAAAAGGCTATTATCATCGGCAATGGCTCCAGTTCATGCTCAAATCTTTTAGCAACAACCTGGATCCAATCAAAACAATGACAATACGCTTTGCAATTCACTGACGTTAAAAATATGACTATCTACAATTGCTTTCGAAAAAGCACAATTCTTTTATGCTCAATACAGCTTCCTATACACCCACTTCCTGTTCTAAATGACTTATATACTCGAGTACAACAAGCTGGTCATATATCAGACGCTATGGACCTTTCGAACTTTTTGAATTTCCTATCACTAAGCTTAACTTAGGCTGTTTCTCACCTCGTTGACTCTCTCCTTGGCCTTCCAGAAAGCCCTCCTTCTATTTATATCGACATTGAAGGGGTAAATCTTTGTAGACTGGGCTCTGTCTCAATTCTTCAAATCCTCATCCCGCCATGTGACAAGACTTATCTGGTTGACGTCCACATACTCAAAGGTGATACCTTCACTACAGCGGGTGATACTAGTCAAATACTATCCTGAATACATGCTAACTTGATGCCAAAGTGGCTGAACAGCGCATCTGAGTCATTCCGTACATCAAAGAAGACTTTCATAATTAGCAACTCGGATGTACTCTAGACATTGTCTTAAAGGCCTCTCAAGCTGTATGGCAGCATCTGAGAAACGACAATGGGTAGCAGAGAAAAGCAAGGGCAAGCGGCTATTCGCCCCTGAGCTCGGCGGTTCATACGAGGTGTTTAACAAGAGACCGCTACAAGAGGAGATGGCATTGTACTGTACGCAAGATGTGAAGTTGATGCCAAAGCTGTGGCAACTTTACTCCAGCAGGATTTTGCAGTCTTGGGCAAAGAGGGTGGAAATTGCTACGAAGGACAGAATTGCTATGTCGCAAACATCGGGGTACGATGGCAAAGGGATGAACAGGCATTTAGGGCCATGGTAATATCGTTATTCGCTTCTGTTGAATTCTCGGCCCGGAAGCAGGGATCAGGGCCCTGATACCGAAGCTGTGTCAGCCAGCTTCATGATCCTCTGGATACTGGATCTTCTGGTTCTAAAGCTTCGATTCTGAAGCTCTAGGGAAACCAGGAGGGTTTCAGGATCCGAGCCGCGAACAGGCACAGAAATAGAGCCCGTAACAGTATATATATGTAAGGACACAGGGCACCAAGCTCACAGTAATAGCATATGAGAGTGCGAGTCGGAGGCTAAACGGATGCTATCCTATAGGTCTACTATGAAGGATACAAAAAAGATGAAGGGGGAACCCCGTTGAGTCTGTTTCCTTAAGTACCCGAAATGGGCCCGACTTGGTTATCCCAACCCTAGCCCTGAACCTTCCACCGCAACAGGTCGGCATCGACCCTGAACCCTACACCCTTACCGTCCCCCATGCTGTAACTCGCTATGTGCTCCTCTACTGGTTCGAAACCACACCGAGTCAGATTTCATGCTTGTAGTGACTGTAACAGCTCTGAGGCAGGTTCTTCGAGTATCTAGGTAAGGAGGCATCCTTACAATATATATAGTAGTTAGAATAGCTTCAATTATAAGAATATGCATTACAAAATTATCACTTTGGGCCCTACTGCTTCATGACTATATTTTCAGTTTATATTCTCTACCTACTGCCACGGATCCTACGGATATTGTTCCACAGCTTCTATAGGGCTACTCGTGATTCGTCCATAGTTCAAGATTACCAGTTTGTTGCATCTCCATAACTGGCTGAAGGCTTTTGTGTTAATTTGGAAGCTTTGTTCTTGTGCGTTTTTATCTTTGCTTTGATAGTTCTGCAGCATTAAATGATATTGCTAGTCTCGCATCATTACCGTCTATACAGCCAGGACGCTCTTGCCATCAGTCGTCAGCCTTGTTCTGACCCTGACTCTTAAAAACCCCATGCCGAGCCTAACATATTCCGAGGGACCACCTATTGCCACGTCTGCGTCTATCATAGCACTGGGCGAGAATATAAGCGCCTCTCCTATCCCTAGACCTATAGTTTTTTTAAAGACTGAGCTTGCGGTGTGGTTTTTCGCTCCCGGTCCAGCAATTAGCAACGAGCACAACGAAATCATCATGGCCACTTCTAACTTACAAGGCAGCCAATATCCATGGTCGAGTGTCATCGCAGCATATCTCGACAGTTCATATTCTATCGACGTGACAGCAAATCCACCACCTGTAAGGAACGGCTGGGTTGCATTCGGGGATTCGTACGCCGCAGGTATCGGTGCAGGTGGCAGACAATCCTGATACGGACAAATGCCTGCGGAGAACAGGAGGTTACCCATGGTTCTTAAACTCGAACTTTAGGCTCCTTGCCAACCACGGAATTAACTTCCAACCTCTTCCCTGCAGCGGCGATGTTGTCAACGATATGTTCAAACCTGCCGCCCAACTCGAAAAATGGTATCCTCAGGACTCGGATTTGGCGACATTATCTATTATCGGGAACGATTTCAACTTTGGTCCTATTGTCGAGACATGTATTGTTGGCTATACAAAAGATCCTGATTGCGCCACTCAACTATCTGCGCCGAGGCACTCCTAAAGGACGTTAAGATTCGTAACCTTCTATTTTCTGTTCGGACTGCCATTCGAGAAGGCAACACGGCCTCAATTCGTTATCTATCAAACAGGATATCCTCAGTTTCTCCAAATTTCTGACCAAACTTGCGACAAAGACCGATTTTGGGTTGGAATGTTAGGCTGGTATTACTATGGAGAGTACCTAACGCAGCCACTCCGGAACAGGTTTAACCAACTATCTGTCAATATTAATGCAAAGATTTCGAGCCTAGCTGACGAATGGAATGCAAATTTGAATCATAAAGAGGTTGTGTTCATCCCTACGGACGAATCCGTCTTTCCTGGACACCGATACTGCGACCAGGGCAAGACCGCTATGCCTATTGGCACGATTGAGACTATTATCCAGAGGATACGCAAGCTTGTGTGTGGCAGAGCGGACGGGATGCCCAATTCTCTTGAGTCTATGGTCGTATGTGACAGTGATCCATCTGCCGGGGACTAAATATGAATAGTTATACCCCACATCACAAGTCACCAAGCAAAACACATCCGTCCGAAGAGTAAACATGTAGTTGATAGATATCTACTCTATTTAAACCATCCCCCCATCTCATTTTTATTTATCTAACACCCAGCAACACCGGTGTAAGCATCAAAACCACGCTGGATGTTCGCCGTGATCTTGCCCGCAAGCTGCGCAGCAACCGGCTTCAGAAGAGTCGACACCTTAGCAGTAACAACCGTAGCCAGCGCCTTCGCACCCGTCAGCTGGGCCTGGAAATCCGCGAGGACAGCTGGGCCAAGGCAGTTCGCCACAAAGGCGTTCTTCTTGGCGATCGTGTCGTTGACGACGATGGTGACGTGGTCGTTGGCGGTGTTGACGGAGCTGATGAGACCGAGGGCGTCAACGTCGCTGAGGACGGGCTGGGCGTTGGCGGCGGTGACGCTGGCGTTGATGGTGGCGACGAGCTTGTCGGAGGCGGCTTGGACGCTGGCTCCGCCACCGCTGGTGTAGGCCTTGACGGCTACGTCGAGGGCGTCGGCGTCGGCTTGGATGTTGGCGATGATGGTCTTGAAGGTAGTGAGATCACGGACCTCGAGGGGGGAGGCGGTGGCGGTGAGGGCGAAGCCCAGGACGAAGAGGGGGGTGGAGAACTTCATGTTGGTTGGTGGTGGGTTGTTGATTGTGGTAGTTGATGATGATTGAGAGTGATGCTGGTTGATGGAGATTAATACAGAGGATTATCGACTCCATTAAATAGTTATTAATGCCGAGGCCTCATCTTCATGTGCTCGTCGTGTTGTTGCATAATAAACTTCGTCTTCAGCAAACATGTGCTCAGCATGTCGCCTACGCCCTGGCTGGTAAGACGCATTGGGCATGAATCCCGTCCGCTACTGCTCCGAGATATTGTCGCTGCATATTTATTTTGGCGCCGCCGCTACAGTCCAAGATGTCGTCGAGCGCGTAGATGGATGAACCCCTCACCGGATTGTCAGTCTCGCCTCCTCCGCCCCAGTACCACCAAAGGCCTCTGTCGATGAAGCCGTCTGAAGTCAGTCGAGAACGTAGATCTTGTCTGAGGCTTGTCATTATTTTCTGACTCGTTTGGAAGACGGCACAAGAGATTGTCACTTGTCACTGTCAATGCAGCGTGGATCATGGTGTCCCCATTACAATAAGCATAATAGTGATCACACCCCTGTAATTGCGGGGCTGGAATCCCGGTGATCTATTCCCGTGCGGGCCATGCGGGCGGCATTTCCCCATGGGGTAAACATGCATTGGCCCTAAGCGATTGGTGGCCTTGGCCGCCTTCCCCTTTCCCCCTCGTGCGAGCCGTGCTAATGATGACCAACCCTCAGGGTTTAACCAATAGAGGGATGTTGAGGATGGGAATATAGATTAACACCTGCTTCATTGAGGAAATGAGGGGTATCCAAGCACGTTAAAGTCATGCCGTGCCGTGTCTTTAACATACATATATATGCTATGCATGACAACTTCAAAACTTGAGAATCCTCGGTATTTTGTGGTTTGTAGAATGACATGAGGATATTTTGTTTACACCTTCGTACATGAAGAATGAGGGGTAGAAATCTGCTCCGTCTTTCTCAGTAAGCACCACGAAACGAAACCCTCGTGTCTGCGATGATATTGTTGTAAGACAGTAAGCCATGACATGGAGTGGGGATATAGCATATAGGGCGGGGTAAGGCTGTCTACGTATTTTGAAGTTGCAATCAGCGTATCACATCATTATAAATCACAATACCCATGAAAACGCACGTTCTCCAAGTTGCTATATGTCTGCTCTTTATTAATATCATGCACACACCCTCTCACAAAACGTGGGTTTGCTATGGATATCGTGAAATGGGGTGTGCTATTAATAAATAATAAATAAATGGTAACCAGGAGGACACGCGTTTTTCATAGATATTAACATACCTATTATTCCTCTATAACTCAGTGTGTATTGTGCGGTGTACCTTCAGTGAGGAGAGGAGTCATCTTGGCCTTCAACTGCGGATGGTTTAAGGTGTCAAACTCCACTTCCGCTGGAGTAAACGGCAACGTTGAAAGCCAGTCTGCGATTGGTTCCACAGCCTTTGTGCTGAGCTTAGTCTGCTGCAAATGTGCTGTTCCCAGCGCTGATACAGACATGGCGAAAATCAAGTAGTGCCTAAGAAACGGGACCTTCAACTGGGACTTCTAATCCTGCTGGCAAGTTGACTATTAAAAGGCCCGGTCATTCTATCAGCTTTCAGTGTAGGTACCTCTAGGGCAATACATACTGTAGGCTGACTGAAGACGTGCTGCTTTCCATGGCTATTCGTGAAGTTGAGGTGGGATAATTCGGAAGATATTCTACATTCGTACTCCATTTGTATACTGAGAAGCCCCTTTAATTCTTCCCGAATAGCTCAATCCGCTCTCTATGATCCTTCCCATGGCAGCTATATTTACAGAAAGTTCCATGTCGCTTCCCACGTCTCCACTTCCCGATGTCTCTTTTTTATCTCCGTTGTCGCCATGGCCAAGGGTCGACTTGAAATATCGTGATGAGAGATGTGTGGCTTATGCTATATCAAACTACCCCCTTTGCCCACCAATCTCGCTAGCTCCGTCTTAGCTTGACGTATCTCTGATGAAGGTGTCCTCTTGCTGTCCTTTCTATACTGCTTCCCTTCCTCATAAGACCAGCTCCGTTTCCAATTTGGTGATGGACTTCCGAGTACCGCACCCTGTTTATAGCATGTAGACCACAGATAGCGTCGTCGGCGATAGCTCGTGAGATTGGCTATCGTAACAGAAAACCTCCAAAGCTTAGAAATATCATACGGACAATACGGACAGCACCTGCGTAGTATAATAGGCTGTCTACTTTCATATCCCCTAGATTCACAGACAGGCACTTCCCCTTGTAGTGGAAGGAGGCGATGGTACATTTTTGATTCATATAAGATCTCTGGCACACTCTACTCCTGTGCCTTTTGCAGCGATGGTGTAGTCAAATGCAGGTAACTTGACCTTGAATAATGCTCCTCTGGCTCCATGAATCTTCATTTCTTCACAGTAGTAAGCTGGTCGCGTAACATGTCGCATGAGTGTAACATGGTTGAGCTGATGGCGACTCTTTCCATGTTCTTTAACGTTCGGACACTGCTGATTGAGTTCTCCCTCATTTATGATACCCATCAGACAGTTTGGGGTACAGAATTGTTGAACACATAATTGGAGTTTGACGACTTGATTGAGTAAACTATGGGTGCGAAGCCCTATATATACATATTGCCAGTATACAAGCTACACTGTGCAGCGTACATCTAGGAACGTAGTTCCAACACGCCCCTTACGCTGTGCAGTGTTGATGCCGTCAGTATAACGCCCCTGCTAAGTCCTCCTAAATCCAAGTCTCTGCCTATCCCTCTTTCCCAGCCCATTCTATCCACAGTATGACCGCGCTCGCTACCCGCTCGCTACCTGCACACCATCGCTGTGGTGGTGTTTGTTACGGTGGTCATAGAGGTCATGATGCCAGTCCAGGAAAAGTAATCTAGATTGGATCTAAAGAGAGAAGAAGAAGAAGAAGAAGGAAGGAAGGTGAGGCTATTCCTCATAACATACAGTTGTCTGCTTAGCGGTTGTAACCTTGTGGCTAAGGCTACACCCGTAATCCCCATAACAACTGTAATAATTGTAATAACCGTAACAACCGTAACAACTGTAATAACTGTAATAACCGTAACAACCGTAACAACTGTAATAACTGTAATAACCGTAACAACCGTAACAACCGTAACAAGCTGTGACAAGCTGTGAGCTGTAATCGTAACACTACCCCCCCCCCTAGTAAGATTGATCTCCTGATCAAGAGTAAGATCATCATGGCTTCTGCGGGTATTTTCAGTGGAAAGCTTGTGTGAGTTCAGGTGCATTGTTGAAGTTTGTAGCAGGATACCAAGTGTTGTCTAGTGGGTGGTTCTTCCAAGCTGCCATATAGAACAGCTTCTTCCGTAGGAGTTTAGAATCTAGGATTTCTTCAACTTCCCATTCAAGTTCATCTTATATAATGATTGGCAGGGGTGGTTCATGGTGCTGGCCTTGTAAAGCATCATCTGAGTCAAGTCGTAAGAGGTTGCTATGAAACACAGGGTGTATCTTCATGCTTGGTGGTAGCTGGAGTCGGTATGCAACATTCCCAATTCGCTCAAGGATTTGAAATGGACCAACTTGCTTATGGTCAAGTTTCTTTGAGGGTCGTTGGGTTTTGATATTCCGAGTAGAAAGCCAGACTCGGTCTCCTATCTTATATCTTGGTGCTGGCTTCCTGTTTTGATTTGCAAAGTGCTCCATTCGGGTTTGTGAGAGGGCGATCTGGTCTTGTAGGAATTCCCAAATATCTTTCATGTTTTGAGCTATGTCCTTATGTTCTTGAAGGGCAGTTTCGAACGTGCTATCCTCTATATCAAAGCTCATTCTTGGCTCGAAACCCTTGTTTGCAAAAAATGGGCTAACTTTTGTTGAGTCTGATGGAAGGGCATTTGCTGCGAATTCAGCCATGCAAAGATATTCAACCCAGTTGTCTTGGAGATAGTTGACATGAGCCCGTAAATATCGCTCGAGTTCTGCATTAAACCTTTCAGTTTGCCCGTCCGTTTCTGGGTGGAAGGCTGTAGACAATTTGATTGTAACTTTCCAAACTTTGCAGAGGATTTTCCACACTGCAGCTACAAACTGGGGCCCTCTGTCTGAGATGATGGAATTTGGTAAACCATGGTGTTTCCATACATGCTGGAGTAGTAACCTCGCTGTAGCTTCTGCTGTAGTGCCTTCTTTACCTGCAAAGCATGGGATAAAATGGCGCTTTTTTGTAAGTCGGCATGCTACTACAAGGATAGAATTGTTTCCTTCACATAATGGTAATCCTGTAATAAAATCGAGTGATATGTCCTTCCATGGTTGGCTTCCAATTGGGATTGGTTGTAGGAGTCCATTGTATGCGTCCCGGGTTGGTTTTGATCTCTTGCAGGTATGGCAATTCCTCACATATTGAGTGATAGTCTTGTCCATCCGGGGCCAGTAGTACTGTCTCTTAATGGTTCGAATCAGCTTCCCAATTCCAGGGTGTCCCATTGCTGGCTGGTCGTGAACCTCATGAAGGAGTTTAACTCGGACGTCTTCTGGGATCCAAACTCGATTTTGGTAGAGTAGGAGTCCATTTCTCTCTTCGCAATGTGCTAAGGCTATATTTGGGCTATCTCGCTCATTGTTCTGTAGTCTTCAGATTGTATCCTTGCATAATTCATCCTGGAGCTGCACAGCTTGAATCTGGTCATGGATGCTTTGATCTTGTGGTAGGATTGGTGCAAGTTGAGCATCTTGTGCCTGCCCTTGACTTTTGAGTTCTAGCTGCTGTGCAAGATCTGGATGGAGTCTCTCAAGGGGTAATAGGGTTTGAAGGTTGTTTTTGATGGTCATCTTCTTCATTCCCTTCTGGTCTATCTCCTGGTCTTCGAGTTAACGCATCTGCTTTTCCGTTCTGCTTGCCAGGTCGATATATGATTTGGAAATTGTATCAAGAGAGGAATTCTGCCCATCGAGCTTGCCGCCTAGTAAGCTTTTTTGTGCTCATAAAATATTCAAGACTCTTGTGGTCTGACAAAGCTTGTACTGGCATTGCTGTGCCCTCAACTTCTGGTCTCCATTCTTCGAAGCATCGATACAGTATTGTAAAGAATACTATATTGAGTTGAGCACGAAGCTCCTATCTAAGGAAATACTATCTACTTATATAGTGGCATCGTGCCTCATGGGTAATCTGGATAGTTGGCGGATAGCTAGATATTCAGGATAGTTCGTGGATAGCTCAACTATCCAATATCCACTAGTTTCTGCAACTATCCATTAGCCCTGTCACATGGCAGCCTACCCCGCTTCCCACTGTGACTCACACGTCACGTTACTAGGCCCTGGTCCTGTAACCATGACGTCACGTTACCGTAGCCGTAACACTAGGTCCTCCTCCAAAAGGCCTAGTCCCTTAGGTCTTGCTAATTAAGGAATCGCTTACTTAAGTAGGGTGATGCCCTTAATTGTCGAGCAGGTTGCGCTGCTTACCATGTCTTCGAGTAGACACATAAAAATCAAAGAACGTCATCTTCTTGCAGACCATATTGAAAAGAACGGCAACCTAATGTCGCCATGTTCCAGCTGTCTTCACAACAATCGATTCTGTATCGTTGTTGCTGGTAGTCATCGTTGTAGTGAATGTACTCGTCGCAATTCCAAATGCAACGCTTGCGCCCCTTCTCCAACTGATTGGGAGAAGCTTCGAAAAGAAGAAGAGCGTCTTGAGGTAGAAGAGGAAGCGGCGGCATCTCAGGAGCGAGAGGCTCACCTCTGCGCTCAAGAAGCATATGCCCGTCGCATGCGTCTTCGCAAACAGCAGAAGGCTCTCAAAACCCGCGGTGTTGAGATGCTGCGTCGTGGTCTGAAATCTTTGGACGAATTGGATGAAGCAGAGGAGAAGGAGTGTAGGGAGGCAGAGGTCAAAGGGACTCTCTTGCACAGCCCTTCTACTGCCGTTTCCGAGGGTGCTGCCCCTGACCAGGACCTTTTCGTGGCCCTGTCTCCTGGCTTCTTTGATCGCTTGGGTGTCGACGGCGAAAAGCCTCCAGTAGCTCTGGACAGCTAAGGTTTCTGACCGTTTCCCATGAATTGTCCGTAGGTTCATAACCTTTCCATTTTATCAAAAACTCTTCTTTGCATCCTACTAACCTTCTGTCTAGGATCGCTTCGACTTCGTATTCAACAATCTCAATCTCTGGTTGGAGTTCTGTATCGGTCGCAATTGGGGTGCTTCCTCTTGCTGGTTCCAGTAGTGAGACATGAAATACCGGGTGTAGTCTAGACTTCTTGGGTAGCTGCAGTCTTCAATATTTTGAATGGTCCCAATTTCTTGAAGTCCAACTTTGTACTTGGTCGTTTCGTTTTGATATGTTTCCGGAGTAGGTATACTTTATCCCCCTCCTTGAAGGCAGGTTCCATACTGCGCTTCTTGTTTGCATATGCGGCAGATCGTTCATTTAAGAATTGGATGTCTGTCGTGAGTTGTTCATGGAACGATTTGAGTTGTTCCACTGTGATCATAGCTTGTTCTG